AACAATCAAGTGCTTTGAATGCCAGGACAGGAAATCTGGACATTATTTTGGAGGTGAAGTTAGGAGGGTAGGGAGAGTACTGATAGTATTTAATTAAAGGACTAAGATGATCAGAGCTGCATTGAAGCAAATGACTAAAAATGCAGGAAAAATAATCAAATCTTCACCTCACACTGTGTAACAATTTCTATGTGGGTTAAAGACATACACATAATTAAACCATAAAATTACTATAAAAATATGTAAATATTTATAAAATCTTGGGGTTTTTCTTCAAAGCGTGATACCATAGGAGTTACTTGGGGACATTCTTTTTAAGCATGATACTCATGAAAGAAAAAGATTGACAGACTTAGATGAAAAATTAGAAACATTTGCACATGTAAAGCACCATAACTAAAAAAGAAAGCCAAATGATAATTGGAAATGTATTTTGAAATGAATAAAATAATTAAGGATTGCTACCCTGAATACATAAAAGGGTCATAAAACTCAATTTAAAAGTAGAAAATTAGGTAAATTATGTGAACAAACAATTTACAAAATAAATGAATAAATAAATAAATAACCAACCAAAAAAAACACACCCAATATTTCTAATAATCAAAGAAATAAGTACAAAGTAAAACAATGATATCCTTTTTTTTCACTTATTAACTTGGCAAAATATTGGAGATACTGTTGGTTGCCTACCCAGCCTTCTTCCTTGCTAACAGAATCATAGTTATGTTTTCTGATTGGATATAGGCCCAATATTCTCAATAAAGGTATTTCCAGTTCCTGATTTAGGGGTAAATCTGAGGTCCATTTAGGATGTGGAAATAGAAAGCCAAGTCAGCTGAAAACCTTTTAGGGAAGACTTTTCTCCTTGGACTCTCAACATTGCTGGGCAGTCATATGAGATTTCTCTGTAGTATGTTCACTTTGCCACTTCTGAAAACAACTATACCACACCTTCTCTTACAGCCTCTAAATTCTAAATTCCCATTTCCACTTTAGCTGGTGACCTTGCCTCATATTTGAATGAGAAAAACAGAAGCAATCAGAGAGAATCCCTTCATTATCGCAGCATTAACTCTGCCAACTGATTGTCCCATCCCTCATCGAACATCAGACCCCTCACTTGGATTCCATCTCCTCTACTTCCTCAAGGACTTGCCTCCTGCATTTATTTCCCTCTTTCCTCTATTGATTATCTCTCTACTTGATTCTCAACTTAGTCTCCTTTACTTGATCATTCACACAAACATGCACCATTACCCCCTGTCTTAAAAACAAAACAAACCCATATAACTCCATATCCCCTCTGGTTACTACTCCATTTCTTAGCTTCCCTTCACAGCAAAACATCTTGAAGACTTGTCTGCAGTCACTACCTGATTTCACAGTTTCTCCTTCATCTGCTCCAGTCAAAGTTCTGTCTGCACCAACCTGCACAGACTGCTCCTGTAAAGGTCATTAGTGACCTCCAACATTTCTAAATCTTAATTGTTTCTTCTTTATTTTTTAAAGTTTTGTACTCTTGGTGTTGCTTCCTCTCTTTAAATGGACACCAGTTCTTTTGGATTAGAGCCCCACCTTTATGACCCCATTTAACCTGAATTACTTCCTTAAGAACTCTATCTCCACATATAATCACATGGGGGGTAGGACTTCAACCTATGAATTTTGGAGGGGAGGCACACAATTTCATACATAATGAGTTATCTTAGTTTTAAATATCATCTACATGCCATTTTTTTTTAAAGATTTTATTGGGGAATGGGGGAAGGGGAACAGTGTTAAGGAATTGGGGTAGGGGAACAGCCAAGTTGTTGTCTGCCAATCTTAGTTGTGGAGGGTGCAGCTAGCTCAGTTCCAAGTCCAGTCACCGTCTGGCTGCCCATCAGCAGCTCGCTGCTGCTCACCTCAAGGTGCCGTGTTCAATCTTAGTTGCAGATGGGCGTAGCCACCATCCCATGTGGGAGTCGAACCAGCAGCCTCATTGTTAAGAGCGTACGCTCTATTCACTGAGCCATCCAGGCGGCAGCTCTGATCAACATGCTGAGTTCAGTCTTTAGTTGCAGGCGGGCATAGCCCACCATCTCATGCTGGAGTCGAACAGGCAACCTTGTTGTTAGGAGCATGTGATCTCACCAGCTGAGCCATCCTGCCACTTGCTGGCAGCTCAGCTTGGGTGCAGCTCACTGGCCCATGTGGGAATCAAACCAGTGATCCTGTTGCTCAGAGCTCATGCTCTTAACCAACTGAACCACTTGGCTGTCCCTACATGCCATTTTTTTAAAAAAACCCTTGCTCTGATCTCTCTCTGAAATTCCAGACTTGTATCTCCTTAATATCTGGCATGGACATTGAATAAGGAACTACATTTCACGCAGTCAAAACAGACCGCCTCCCACTCCTGCTTCTTCCACAAGTTTCTAGTCTTTTCTATCCTAGTCAACAGCCCCTCCATCTTATTTGTAGTTTAAGTCCCAATATAAGAATGACCTTAAATTCCCCATCTTTTATCTTCCACAGTTAATCTACTAGCAGTTTCTATCAACTCTATTTCTAAAACATATCTAAACCTGTAAATTTCTCTTCCTCTCTCACACTTCCACCCCAGTATAAGCCTCCATTATTTTTCACTTGGGCTATAAACAGTCTCCTAACTGATCTCTCTGATTCTACTTTTCAATTTCATTAAAATCCATTCTCCTAACAGCTGCATGATCTTATTAAAAGATCTTTTCAATCCTCTGCTTAAAGCCTTCCAGTGGATCATAGAAATAAATGTAAAAAAAAAAAAAAAAAGAAAGAAAAAATAGAGAAATGGTTTGAATAGGCACTTCACCAAAGATATTATTAAATGAATGGCAAATAAGCACATTAAAAATGCTCAGCATCATTGGTCATTAGGAAAATGCCAATTAAAATCACAATGAGATCTTATCATTCCTCTGCTGAAAACCAGCCCAAACTTTCATCAGTTCTCACCTGTACTTTACATAGTCTTCTAACTGATCTTTCTGTTTCCACTTTTGCTTCATTATAATCCATTGTTCTCATAGCAGCTGCATGATTTATTCAAAGATCTTGTCAGTCCTCTGACTAAAACCCTTTTACAGATCATAAACCTACATGTAAGTGCATAGGCAATTCAGTGGAGAAAGGATGGCATTTTCAACAAATGGATCTGAAACAATTGAATATCCATGTACAAAACAAAATAAATGAACTTTGAATTATACTTTGCACCATATATACAAAACTAACTCAAAATGTAACAAACTAAATGTAAAACCTAAAAATTTCAAACTTCTGAAAAGAAAACATGGTAGACACTTTCTTCTAACGGCTATGGGGATCTATAAAAGTGTTCCCATAGTTACATATGGAATTGGATTATGAGAACTGATAGTTTTCCTCATATGTTGCACATGTTTCTCTCCAGCTCTTAGCCTCTCTTTCCTGGAAACCCGCACTCTACACTTTCTTTACATCTGAATGATGCCAATAGCGTTATCTGTGACTCCATAAGCTGTCATACAACCTCCCCCTCCATCTCAGCTTCGCAACCCACAGGGCCTTGAATCCTGAGCAAATCACTTACCAGAGGCTATTTTCAGACCCTGCCTGGAAATGAAAGAGATCCCCTCAATTGGGGTCCTTAGAACTATAGTGAGGGTGTGAGTTGTATATTCCCTATCCAAGTCAAAAACAAAGTGTCTCCAAACTTACATAGTTGCAAACTTGTAGAGATTGCATCAGACACTCTATCTCCCTAGTGCTCTTTATGTGCCACCATTACTGAGACACTAGTTTAATGAGCACCCTAGATCATTACCTGCTCTTATGTACTTTGATCTCCAAACTAGACCAACTCCCTAGAGCCTAGGCCTACAGGAAGCATCACCACTCATTTGGTCCAGAGAGGGTAATTAACAGAAGACACACCTTAGACTGTTGAAATCAATTTTTAAGATGTCATTCATATATGTTCTAGTTCTAGCCTTGCCTTTATCCCAGATCTGAGCTGAAACACTCCCATTTCATGGTGCCATCATCTCTCTATACCACCACCCCAGTACCTGAAGGATTTATAGGCTGCTGAAGAGAATTGACAGGTGCCAGAATGGTGATCCTAGTGATGATAGTATAATAATCAAACAATAGCTAATATTTTTGAGCATGTATTGTTTTTACCAGCCATTGTTCTAAGCACTTTCCATGGGTTCTCACTTAATTCTTACTAAAACACTGTTATGTGGTTATTATTAATAGTACAAAGCATAGGCCTGTTGTTACTGGACAATGAGGGAGGCACTATTTATCTCTCCATCCAACATGTATGCATCGCCTTCCCATAAAAAGCAACAACAAAGATAGCAACAACCAGAGATAGGTCTCTCATCTTTGTGGAATTCACTAATGCTGCAATATCCCCCTTGTAATTCCTCTCTTCCATGGTTGTCTACCCCATCTTCCACCACTTCCTTGCTTCATCTGGCCAACTGAAACCCTGCCCTCTAACCCCACACTCTGTTAGTCTGAGATGGGGAACCGAATACGAAGTGGAAAAGCATCAAATTGCTTTGGACACTAACTCAGCTCAAGTACTTAGCATATTTGTGATAGTGTTTGGGGGTTGAAACAGATTATATGAATATACATTCACCTCAAGAATAGCCTGGAACTTATTACAACTTCTCATTGGGTTAACCAGGAAAATGACCAATTCCACCCTACCTTGGAGACAATTGTGTCTATTTTGACTCTGGACTTTTAAATTTGGCTGTCAGCCCTTGCTCCACGCCCTGACCAGTTTATATAAGCAAAACAAAATAACGTTTGACCCAGGCTTCTCCTTGTGGTCCATGGATCAGTTACTGTCTGTTTCCTTGGTTTTTGTGTCTGTTTCTTGACCATTTAATTTGTGCTTCACTCTGGCTTCTTGCAGTTTAGTTTTCTGTTCTTTTGATTTTGACATTCCCTGTGGTCCTGTGAGCAATTCGTTCCTGCAGCCTGGGGAGAAGGGTGAGAATTCATACAACTAGAAAGATAACTCTGTGTAAGGAAGGAGGTGAGTTAACTTTTGGGTTTATTAAGTTTAAGGTGAAGTCTTGAATGCTTTCACTCCTTCAAGGGTCTGCTCCTGCACACTAGGTCTCACTAAAAATGGTTTCTGTGAAAAATATTCAGCATTTAAAAATGTATATTCCTGCTTGCAGCTCACACTTTCTTTGATTATATTTGGTGATAATTTACAACTGCTTTCTATTTTGTTTCATGAATGGCATTCCTTCTATGACTTCATATAAGTTATTGATGAAAAATGTTGAAGGATAGGACCAGATACAAAGTCCTCTGGTATGACACTAAAGACCTTCCATTAGATGGGCAGATCTATTGTTACACATAACTATACTATCTTATAACTCATATTTATCTATTTTGTCTACCAGAACATCCTAAGATAATGTGTCCAGTGGTTTCTGGAAAATAAGATCCACTGGGTCTATGGCAATCTCTTTACTTCAGTAGTTTTCAGGTTGTCTTCCTTGGAGTGTCGAATTTTTGGGGAAGTGTCTTGGGGTCTATTTTGGGGAATGGAGGAAGGAGAATAAGGCTTTTTCTTTCTCACTTCAGTTACAGCAGCCCTACTCTTATCTGTTTTAGAAATTGAAGTGCTGAGTAAGATTTCACTTGTGAAGGGGATTCTTTGGCTTTAAAATGTTTTAAAATCCCTTTTTCAAGGTAATGATCATTGCTGAAAATAGAGATAAGATACCCTTTTTGCTACCAATTTCTTCTGTGTCTGAATTGGCTCACCAGTCATTAAGGTCCAGTTACGTGTTTGTAGTCTATTGTCTAAACATGTTTCTAGGCTTTTACAGACCAGCCTATGAAACTAATTGCAGTTATAATATGGTTGCAAAGGAAAATTCATTCTGAATTTAAAGAGGTAGTATAGTGTGTTCTGGGGTCAGATAGCCTGATTTAGAATTCCAGCTTGTCACACTTTCGGTGCGGCTTTGAGTAAGTTTCTTAACCTCTCTATGCTTCACAGTTCCCATGTGTTAAACAGGGGAAGACTGTACCACCTACATTATAAGGTTTTGAGATCATTAAATGAGATTATCATGTACTGTGCCTAGCAGAATGCCTGGCACTTGATAAGTGTTCAATAAATTGTCATTAAATTGGGCCGGCCGAGTGGCTCAGTTGGTTAAGAGCTCGCTCAAGAGTTTGAGCTCTGAGCAACAGCGGTTCGAGTCCCCGTCCGAGCTGAGCAGCTGCTGAGCTGCCAACAGGTAGCAGGATGGCTCAGCTAAAAAAAAAAAAAAAATTGTCATTAAATTCTCATTGTCAGTATGAGTTGACATCAATCATAAATGTCAGTAAATTATCTTCACTGTAACTTGGTCAAAATCTGCCCATGACTGCACACCACTGTTTACTTCTGAAAAATTATCTAAAATATCTTAATTTATGAAGGTTTAACATAAACTGTGGCCTCAGTAAAAGCTGACTGAAATTTAGTTGGGGCTTTCTTGCCTTTCTGTTTGTAGGGTACTTGAATCTATTCTCAGATCATGTATGTTAAATCAACTGTCACTTATTTTTATTTGATTGCTTTAATCTTTAAAAAAAGCATGTCAAAATATTCATTAATAGGAAGTTTGAATTTTACCTTAAAATTAAATGCATTCTGGAAATTGGACATAAAAGTAATCATTCTCTTTGAAAGTGAGACATTTTCAAAATAGTATACCTGAATAGGAACATTTAAAATTATTTTAAGATTATTTTAACAAACGTGTGGCCATAATGTGAAAATTTTAATATTGCTGTAGCATTTTTGATTCATAGCGATAAAAAAAAGACTCAAGAGACAGATATATTAGCTATGCTCAGAGGCTTACACATAGTCCTGCCTTCTAAATATCTAAAATTTAGTGCTTTAAATACCCTGTTCTTTAAAAGGGTTCTTTTTTTTGTTGTTTTTTATTTTGTTTTCTTAAAAAAAGGTTTTTAAAAAATGTTTGTGTTTATCTGATGTTTAGTTAGGTACCCAAGCTGAAAGATGAGAAGATGAGGTTACATGAACTATTTAAGAATTGATTTGACTGAGATAATATATGTCAATGAAAACTCCATGTAAGAGAAATACTTTAGCAGATGTTTCTGGGAGGAGATTACTTGTTTATATCTGACTTATAAATATGACTTAAATGACTAAAAAACTAACCTTGCCAATTAAATCACATGTAATTTCTAGATTGTCATGAAAATGAACTGGAAATAGATGAGATGGTTTTATGGAAGAGACTGATTTCATTCTCTTCTATTTAAAATGATGCTTTTGGCTCATGATTCATTTGGATTAAAGGTCCTCTTGGCTTCCTAGCCATGTACACCTTCCAAGTCTTCTCTTGTAATGCTCTGATAGCATCTCTGGGTCTTTGATGATATTTTTGACTTCCCAATCCATTTGGCAAAAAGCTATTTGAAAGCTTTACTCACTTCAGGTAATACACACATTTGGAAAACAACCTAAAGAAATACAATGGAATATTTTGCATGGGGAATAGATCAGCTAGATTCTCCTAGAAATGCAGTATCTGCTTGCTGAGTCAGTGGCTTTAATAGTATGGTTTTTAAAAAGTTCCACGTATTCTTTTTTTCTTAAGCCACGGAGAAAACAGTCCTACTTCTTCACTATGTTGATGAAATAGATTCTGTGATGTTTTTATTCTAATCCCTAGTCCTTAAAAATGTTTTTTAAAAAACTATTTGAACATTTTTTGAGGTAATTGGTATGTAAAATAAAATATTTTATATACAGAAATGACACATCAAAAGGAATATGACCCTGATACTTATTGTGCTCAAATTTGAGACATAAACTTCAATGTGACCTCCTGAGTGAGGATCTCTATAATTTATCACTCATTTATTTAACCATGAAATATACTTACTTGAAATATATTTTTTGCTTTTCTTCTGTTTCTCCCTCTTTTTTTAAAAAACATTTTTATTGGGGAATTGGGGGATGGGAACAGCACTGGGGAATTGGGGGAAGGGGAACAGACAAGTTGCTGTTGTTTTGTTCTTCAGTCTA